GGGCACTGGACCCATATACTGTTTTTTACGTGATATTTTTTTTACTTAATGTGTTCCATTTCGTTTAAAATGTTTTTGAGCGCTCCTCACACTATTGTATTGATAAATTTTGCTTTATTGATGTAAGATCAGAAAGCACTCCTTTTAGCGGATATAACCGTGTGAGCTGATGAAGAGATTATATCTTTTCAATTTTTGTCTTCCGACATTTTACTATATTTTTTATGCTTTTATTTATTTTAAATATTTAATTTCAATAATTTTTCTTCTTGCCTTTGCATTAATGTTTAATATTTTCCATGTTTTCTTAAACAATTTTATTAAGTTAGGAGAAAGAACAGCTGGTATCATTTTGAAAGAGGACATAAAATAAATTAAGAGAATTTGAGAAGTTTAAAAACGTATTATTTGTATTTTACATGATCTTACTTCCTTAGGAGGAAGAATAACTGGCTTTAGTTTGAAACGGGTCCGTCATAAATTTAGAAACGTATTACTTGTATTTTACACGATTTTATATCCTTAGGAGCCAGATATACTAATGTAAATACTAGACTTTTTGTGATATTTTATTGACAACGTTAGACGTAATTTATTAGAATTTTTTAAATACGTTATCTGCCAATAATTATGGAATTTATTATAAAATGAATGATACAATGCGCATTTTCTATTATTTTATTGATTTATTATTTTGTTTGTTTCCATAAATTTTTTTGTATAATCAAGTCAATTGTATCGATATCCTTACAGGTTATAAACAAATTACAAACAAAACTAAAAATCGATAAAAAAATTTTTAGAAAAAATAAAATAAAACAAACATTAAAACGCAAAAAAAAAATGCTTGAAATTTTTTTTTGTATAATCAAGTCAATTTTATCGATATCCTTACAGGTTAAAAAAAATTACAAACAAAACTAAAAATCGATAAAGAATGTTTTTAGAAAAAATAAAATAAAACAAACATTAAAACGCAAAAAAATTTTTTTTTTTTTAAATTTAAAAGGAAATCTTAGAAATGTAATATAAATACTGCAAAAAAAACATACGAAAAAACATACCAATTTCATTTCCTTTTTAACCTGTCTGGGGATATCTGCAATTTTCTTGGAGAAGCGCAGTGGTTTGTATGCAATAATCTGTCCTTTATATACGGCTGTCTTAGTAAAAATCTGTTCAATGATTTTTGATTCTGTTGACATGTGACTAGTTAAGCTCATCTAGAAAATATAAATATAAAAATACATAATTAAAAAACTAAATGTTACTGAACATTGGCACACAATGCTCAATATAAAAACAGTTACACCTTAAAAACTTTGCGTCCAGTGATCACATTACTTTCTCGGAATACACATACACTTTTTTCGACGGATTTCTATCCTTGTTTCTAAGACAACTTCCATCTGCAAAATATGGTCCCAATAGTTAAACCCTTTGCTTACGGTGTTCCAAGTTGTACCATCATGCGCGGTCCACATGTTGCACTAGCCGTAAGCAAAAGGTTAAATTAACTCTTGCTTACGGTGTTCCAAGTTGTACCATCACATATGGTCCACATGTTGTACCATCCGTAAGTAAAAGGTTAAGCAGAAGAACGGTGTCCCGGAAATTTTTTTTCACCTTTTCATGCTGAGTAATGTATGTATAAAAGTCGAATTTTTACAATTTCACCTCTCAAGATATATTTGACCGATTTCACTCATTTTAGGAATTCGTCATTTAAAAATATATATTAAAAGTTACGAAGAGATTTTTTTTTTATAATATAATTCAAGAAATGTTTACTATAATTATTAATTTCGTAATCAAAAGCAAAAAATTATATTTAAAAAAAAACTATTTCTACGTCGTGTTACCTTTGGATAATCGAATTTAATAACTGTATGATTGTGATATCAGGTCATTGATATTTTACAAATTTCAATTTCAACTCATTCTCTTTCTGTCGCGTTCTGTTTATTTTTTCATCCATTTTGATCAGCACGTAAAAAGGTTGTTGTTCGCTACACCTTATGTGGACCGGGATAGCCTTGCTGGTAGGGCACTGGACCCATGTCCAAGAGTTCGTGGGTTCGATCCCTGCCGGCTGAAGACTCCCCGTGTAGTAAATGGTGACTGATGCACGTTAAATCTGTCTAGTCGCAAAGTCCTACATGTTCCCATAACAAATCAATACCTCTAGGGTACTGATCCAGAAGTTTCCTTGTCTTCCGGATTGGTTCAAAATTGCAAGGTTACGGAGTTGAACATTAGTAGTCGTAAACCCAAAATTGGGTCGGCTGTTCAACGATGGATATATAAAATAAAGTACACCTAATGTGGTAATAGACACAAAATTAGGCTAGAATACGGAGCAGAAAGAAGACAGCTCGTTATGTTGATTTGGATTGAGAATATCTTGCAAATGAGAGAGCAATAATCTCACCGAACCCAGTTTAGTATACAAGCATGCGGACCTGAAAATATTTCATCCAACATGTAAAAGGATTGGCGCTTTCATACGCCATGGACCGACGGCAAGCCAAAATGCATTGTGTTCGAATGGATTGTAAAAGCGTTGAATAGAACAATGTGAAAACTACGCTTTTGCATAATACGTGGCAAAAATCGACACGGTAAAGAAAAAATCTCATTTTCGCAAAGGGTAAATTAAGCTCTTTTTAAAAACTCCCAATAAAAAAAGCATCTTTAAGGGCTTTTAAAAAACGAAAATCGACATTTTTAAAAACGCTACGCTTCATGTGAAAGTAATAAAAGTATTTCAATAGCTTAAACAGTATACGTATGTTAAAATACGGGAGATATGTTAACCCACCGACGGTTCTGCACGTAGAAAGTCGTACTTTTTTTTACGCTCGCAAATGGTCGTGAACGTAGAAAACCTCCCTTCATTTTTCCCTTATAGATGGTCCTGCACGTAAAAAAAGCCTTTGATTTTTGTCCGGCGAAACGGCCATGCACGTGAAAAGTCGCTAATGCTTTCCCCCTTACTTGCGGAAATGGGCGTGAAATTCACTCCCTCCTCAGCTATGGTTAATTGATGTCCACTCCATCACCTGAAGGGTTGAAATACTCAATACACAATAGAGTTTGCTTTCGAAGAAAATGCGAAAGGATTTTCGAATATATTTAACTGAAAAAATTTTTTTTAGTACAAAAAGGAAAGAAAAAAAATAAAGAAATCGGTATGGGAAGAGAATTACATGACAAAATAGAACTAATTTTCATCTAATGTTAATTCGCAAAGATTAAAATTGATTTTAAAAAAAGTAAGAGGTTAAAATTGACTCAGTGCAGGTGATTGATTTTAATTTTGAAAATATAGTGCAATAAATCTCGGTAAAAGTGATTCACCTAAATGTATGAAAAATAAGAAAATGATATATTTGAAAATAATGCTTATAAATGATTTACATATAGTATTGTCCTCAAATCTTTAAATAGTTTTCCATTTAGTTAGATTTCTTTTTTTTTATAGAGTATTTAGCGAGTAAATAATAGTAGCTTTNTTTTTTTTTTTTGCTGGTTGAAGGAGCATTTTTTAATATTAAATTGCGATTTTTTTTTGTTAGTGATTAAAAAACTAATATTTAATATTCAGTTTCAATTTTTATTCTTTCAAAGTATTATCAAGTTTTAGAGGAAGGCATTAATTATTGAATTAATGATTCAATAGTAGATTTAGTTAAGGATGTAATTGCTGGTTGGTTAGCATCATCTCACTTAACTTCGAAATGCTTTTTTTTTTCATATGATCGTATGTTAATTTTTTTATATTATCTCCCTCCCAAATCAGTTGCCACATTTCCAGAAAGTTGAGTTATAAATAACTTTCGATGCAGTTTAATAGAACAACAACTGTAAAATTATACTAATACTGAATTAATGATTCATTTACTAAAATATCATTTTATGCAATTACCTATGGAAGAGTCGTAACAAAAATGGGATTTGTTTGACAGAGTGAGAGCAATTTTGTCTAGCACCAACATTTTTTTCAAAATTAGCATCGAAAAAGAATTTGGAAACTAATTTGGTGCTGATTTAAGTAGGAATGATCGGTATGTAAACGTTGTAAACTGATAGCATAGCACCCTGAAATCTCTGAAAAGTGTTTAATCAAAATCATAAACTCATCAGTATCAATAAGTAGTGCAAAGGTATTTAAACGTAGAAAAGGGAGTATATTATTATTAAATGTCAATTATCTGACAGCTGGGCTTTCAGGTTTTTCTTTTTTTGTCAGAAATTTGTGTATATATTTAAATTATATATATGCACAGGTTTCACATGAAATGTAATAAATTAATTAATATTTTAAATAATTTTCTAAANATGAAAACCTCCCATAGTTAGCTTGACGGCAAGTGTACTCTAACCCATGATTCGTCTACCACTGAGGATATTTTACGTCAGCACTGTGGTCGGTGCAAGCCGGATATGGAATTCGTATCGACCAGCCATCGCTGGTATTTGAACCCGGTTGATCTGATTGAAAGAGGAAAGCTCTATCCCTTGAGCCATCACGGCTCTTTAAGGCAATTAATTTTTTTTAAATGTAAACATTCGGCGTTTTCCAATATTGCGGCGGTTGTTTCACGAGTTGAATTCATGCTACTTCCAAGACGGGTACGCTATATATCATGTCGCGAGGTATTCCATGGTAACAAAACGATTACCATAATAATAATAATAAACTAGCCTGCTTAGTCTCCGAATCTGAACCCTATCGAGAATCTCTGCAAAGAGTTGAATCATTGATTTAATTTTTGGGACTTAATTTTTGTTTTTAAATTTCAAGTTTTTTTAAATTTAAAAAAACAAAAACAGAATAGCTAAATACCATATAGTTTTGTGAGCAAAGGCTTTAATTTAAAAAAAAAATATTCATATTTATAAAATAAAAAAATAGTCAATGAATTCGACATTTTAAAAATATTTACATTGTCTGAAGATAAAATTTTTATTAAATTTATATATGTATTTGTTACATAATTTTTCAAACGCAATCAAAAAAAATTTTATTATTATTTTATAATATGAATGTAAATACATACAGTTCTATAACAGAAAAATTAATATTGTTAAAAGTTTCCAAATTACTGTTTTCTCTGATTATTATTTTTCGGTAATTTACCAAATTCGAAAAGTTCAACGCGGCATAATTTTTGTTCAATTTACTTGAAATTTTTTGCACATATTGTTAATGCGTAGAGGAATATTTTTTGCTATCAAATTAAATAAATAAAATAAATTATACAATATTAAATTAATATAAATAAAATATACCCCTCATCGAAGTGAGTTATCTGTGTAATCAGAGTAACAGGATTCTCGTGAACATTCTGCAATAATTATCGGTAGGTAGAATAGTTAAGGGTAAATAAAAGTTTGATAGTGCACTCATGGACAAAATTAGTGCACCAAGAAATAATTGTGCTCACCCATCAATACCTCCGTTTGGAGTTTCGCCGCGCACGAGGAAATTGAACTGCAGCGGAATGGAAAGGTCGTCTTTAACGACGAATCCAGATTCAATCTCAGCAGGGATGACAATTGTGTTCGTGTGTGGAGATCCTGTGGTGAACGCCTCAATCCTGCCTTTGCTGTACAGCAACACACCGCTTCCACAGGTGGTGTGATGGTATGGGTTGCCATTGCCTACAATACACGGTCACTCCTAGTATTGTTCCGTGGCACCATGACAGCCCAGCGTTATGTCCATGAAATTCTGCAACCACATGTGTTGCCACTCATGCAACGGCTCCCAGGAGCCATTTTTCAACAATACAATGCTCGGCCTCATATGGCAAGGTTGTCACAAGACTGTCTCCGTACTTTTACTATCCTTCCTTGGCCTGCCCGGTCCCCAGATTTGTCGCCAATCGAGCATATCTGGGATAATTTGGGACAGGCGAGTTGGGCATCCCACGAGTTTGAACGAACTAGAGGCAAGGTTACAGCAAATATGGAACATCGCATCGTATCGTATCGTATGCCCGATCGTATCGCATAGTGCATTCGCGCTAGAGGGGGTCCAATGGGGTATTAACTCCTCCGTTCTTTTGCCTTTTTCTCTGAAATAAATTATCCTTTGTCTTTGATTTTCTAATCATTTACTTATATCAAAGTAGTCATTACGTATGTAAATTTTCGTTTCATTTTGACGACTCCTTCTTGGTGCGCTAATTTTTTTGTCCTTGAGTGTATTACAAAGCAATGTATTTATCTGCAAACATAATGTTATATAATAACACACAATTCAAGTTAATCTTTACCCGGCTGCTATAATGTATCATTCCTAGTCCATCTTGGCCATACCTCTGGATCTCAGATCTTTCCAATTTCCATAACAAACCATCGATCTCCTGTTCATACTTCCAATTTCTGAAATGACACGTCAAATTAAATAGAGATAGTGTGTGGTATGCGCAAAATTTTTTTCAAAAAGCAGTTTCATGTAGAGTTTTTTCTTTTAATCATCAATACAATACAGGATGTTTCATTATGTCCACTTTTAATAGGTATTTTCAGAGTCTTAGTCAAACTAACTCTCAATACGAAGTGGGGTACTTCGTAATGACCACCCTTCATGCAACAGGGTGCGTAGCCGAATCTTTCAACAAAAAATAAGCACCTTTTAAGTACTTTTTAAGCACTCAAAAAATATTTTCAAGCACTATATACACTAACAAAATGCAAAATAATTTTCAAAGACATTACATGATCGTGATAAAATAACTACTTAATAACTAAATAACAAAGAACTCTTTTCTTGATTATATTAGTCAATCTAACATGATCGAGACATTTTTCGGTTCGACATCAGAGGGTGGAATATGAAGCCTGAAATTGAGAGTATCTTGCAAAATGCAGCAGAATTGCACATGAGAGTGCAATAATCTCACCGAACCCAGCTCAGTAGACGCACATGCGGACTCCCAAGTATTCTGTCAAACATGTAAAATGATTGGCACTTCCATACGCTATGAACTAACTGTGTGCCGAAACAGACTGTGGTATTGAGAAAACGTTGAATAGGACAATGTGAAAAGCACGCTTTTGCATAATACCTGGTGAAAATCGACATTGTAAAGAACAAAAATCTAAGCACTTTTTTTAAAAACACTCAATGAAAAAAGCACCTTTAAGGGCGTTTAAAAAATGAAAGTCGAAAATAAGCATCTTTAAGCAAAAACGGTAAAGAAAACTGTGTATCAATAAAGAGGAAGGTGATATAAATGAATTTTAAAACCAGTTTGATTTCTTGAGGAAATTTAGAAGTGCTTCTAATGATCTTTAGAAGTGCTTCTAATCTTCTTTCATCTCCTCAATGTTTCGTTTTTAGTCCTACTTATCTCAGGTGTGTCTCGTTATATTTCTATAGACTTCATGTTTTTTCGTTACTTATTAACATATGACATATAATGTGAACCATCATAGGAAATATTTTTTTTTAAAAATATATATTAAAAGCGGAACACATTATGTAACACGAAAACAAAACAACAAACACAACAACAAAAGTGTTACTTTTCAGAATACTTACTTTTATTAAAAGAAGGACATTAGAAAACTCTATATGTAAAATACAAATTTGAAATCTGATGAATTATTATTATATTTAAACTTTTTTTTCCCTGTTGGAGCAACCTGAGCTATTGACTGCTACTATTTATTGTAGTTACCACATAAAAAATTTAAGCAGAGGTAATGTATAAGAAACATATCATTGTTAAAAGCCCTTATATAATTAACCCATATTAAGTTAATGTAGTTACCATATAAAAAATTTAAGCAGAGGTATTGAATAAGAAACATATCCTTGTTAAAAACCCTTGTATAATTTATATAATTAATCCATATTAAGTTAATGTAGTTACCATATAAAAAAATTTAAGCAGAGGTATTGTATAAGAAACATATCATTGTTAAAAACCCGTATAAAATTTATACAATTATCCCATATTAAGTTAATGTAGTCACCATATTAAAAATTTAAGCTTAAAAAAATTAAGCTTTTGATTGATCAGTTAGTAGATGTTTGGCAGTTAATATCAAACTGTACAGTTGAGATTGATTAAAACTCCAACTTTATTATTATTTTTAACAAACTGTCGAAAGACAGTAAAATCTTAATAGCTAATGCGTTTCATGAATGCTAGCTAAAATAATGACTCATTAAAACGGTTAAAAGTTACTTATCCAAATAATTGCAAATGCAGTATGATTATGTGGTAATACGTTACTGATTCTTCACGAAAATCCCCCCCCCCCCCTTTTTTTTTAAAAAAAACCGTCGTTGAACTGCCGACCCAATTTTTGGGTTTACGATTCAAGCCTTGTAACTTTGAGCCCAATCCAGAAGACGAGGAAACTCCTGGATCAGCACCCCCAGAGGTATTGATTTGTTATGGGAATATGGAGGACTTAGCGGCTTTACAAATTTAACGTGCATCAGTCACCATTTACTACACGGGGAATCTTCGGCCGGCGGGGATCAAACCCACGAACTCTTGGACATGGGCCCAGTGCCCTACCAACCAGGCTATCCCGGCTCCCAACTTCGTAGATAAAATAAATAGCATAGGATGAGCCGCGATGGCTCAAGGGATAGAGCGTTCGCATTCCAATCAGGTGAACCGGGGTTCGATCCCGGCGATGGTTGGTTTATACGAATTCCGCATCCGGCTTGCATCGACCACAGTGCTGACGTGAAATNCCTTGTATAATTTATATAATTAATCCATATTAAGTTAATGTAGTTACCATATAAAAAAATTTAAGCAGAGGTATTGTATAAGAAACATATCATTGTTAAAAACCCGTATAAAATTTATACAATTAACCCATATTAAGTTAATGTAGTCACCATATTAAAAATTTAAGTTTAAAAAAATTAAGCTTTTGATTGATCAGTTAGCAGATGTTTAGCAGTTAATATCAAACTGTACAGTTGAGATTGATTAAAACTCCAATTTTATTATTATTTTTAACTAACTGTGGAAAGACAGTAAAATCTTAATAGCTAATGCGTTTCATGAATGCTAGCTAAAATAATTACTCATTAAAACGGTTAAAAGTTCCTTATCCAAATAATTGCAAATGCAGTATGATTATGTGGTAATACGTTACTGATTCTTTACGAAAATCCCCCCCCCCCCTTTTTTTTTATAAAAAAACCGTCGTTGAACTGCCGACCCAATTTTTGGGTTTACGATTACTAATGTTCAAGCTTTGTAATTTTGAACCCAATCCAGAAGACGAGGAAACTCCTGGATCAGCACCCCCAGAGGTATTGATTTGTTATGGGAATATGGAGGACTTTGCGATTCTACAAATTTAACGTGCAGCAGTCACCATTTACTACATAGGGTGTCTTCGGCCGGCGGGGATCAAACCCACGAACTCTTGAACATGGACCCAGTGCCCTACCAACCAAGCTATCCCGGCTCCCAACTTCGTAGATAAAATAAATAGCATAGGATGAGCCGCGATGGCTCAGGGGATAGAGCGTTCGCGTTCCAATCAGGTGAACCGGGGTTCGATCCCGGCGATGGTTGGTTTATACGAATTCCGCATCCGACTTGCATCGACCACAGTGCTGACGTGAAATATCCTCAGTGGTTGACTGATCATGGGATAGAGTCCCCTTGCCGTCAGGCTGACCGTGGGAGGTTCTCGTGGTCTTCATCTGCATGTAACGCAAATGCGGGTTAGTTCCACCAAAAAGTCCTCCACGAAAGCAAATTTCTCCCAATCCTTGATCCAGGTGTTCCCTTGTCTTCTGGATTGGGTTCAAAATTACAAGTCTATGGAGTGGAACATTAGTAGTCGTAAACCCGAAAATTGGGTCGGCTGTTCAACAATGGTTATAAAATAAAAATAAAATAGCATAGGATATAAGAAACTGTATTTCATTTCCCTTTTCCTAGAAGATCTATTTTACGCATTTAAGAGGACGCCATACCTAGGAGAAACTTTTGATCGCAAATACTCTTTCAACTCCATAACTAATTTAAAATTTAAAGAATAGAAAAAGCGAGCAAGCCATGAAGTTTCAAATACTGTTAAGAGAAATTTTCAAAATTTCAAAATGAAATAAATGATGAGACGATAGCTTATGATTACGCAATGGATAAGTTCTTTTCCAATAAATTGCTCGCATTTTGTCATTTTGAAAATTTCTTTTCATTATTTGAAACTTACTCTGCTCAGTCTAAACTCACTACTTCTATACTTTAAATTTTAAATTAGTTATGGAGGTGAAAGAGTGTTTGTGAGGAAGAATTTCTAACGCGATGTGGCATCCTCTTAAATTGGAGTAAGGGTGTTTAATTTAAATTTATTTCGATGAAGTTGTTGAACAGTTTATTTAATATCAGACCGCTGGAGAATTTAAAAAAAAATACTTAGCAACAATTCCCGCGCTATAATTAATCATGAAGGTTAGTTACAATCAGCTGTCAGTTAAAATTAGCTGCCGGTATTAATTGCGTTGTTTTAAAGTATCTTCACGCCATAATTGGGAGAATTCCAGCTTCGTAGAAGTAGCACCGGTCTTTATAGCTAGATGTGCCCCTCCCCTTTTACAGTTAGGGGTTTGGGAAACTACGCAAATCCGTCTTACTTGAAATAATCTTTTTTCGATAGGGTTTGATAGTCATTGACTTTTTTTTAAAAATATATTAATTTTTTTTTTAGTTATNTTTTTTTTTGCAGAGTTTACTGAATTTAATTTTTTTTGTAACAAATAATTTAAGTTTTTGATTGATTCAATTATGAAAATGTAGACAAGCATATTATATTTGTTAAAAAGAATAAAAAGTAGAAGGAATGAAGAATCTTGCTATCATTCAAAATATTTCATTAGATCTTTTCTAATAATAAAAATAATTATTATAATAATAATAAAAATTATTATAATATTATAATAATAATAATAAAAAGAANAATGAATCCAAACTATAGCGAAATGACGCTCATTGGCGTCATTTCGTTATGTTCTGGAGTGATTTCGTAATATTTTTAAGCATTTCTGCCCCCATCATTCTAGAAGATAAAAAATTAAATAAATAAGGATTTTTTGACCATTTTTTAGTTTAACTATAATTAAAAATTTATTTATTGATCTCATAAGATTAATTAAATAAAAAAAATAATAAACAATTTTTTTAGTGTGACTGTTATTAAAAATTTGAACATCCTATCCCAGAAAATATAACAATAAAATTAAAAACAATAAACTCGATTCTATACTTTGCTTATTATTTGTAATAATTACATGAAATTTCGTAAGCGTAGCTCAAATATTTCTCGAAATATAAACATTTAAAAAAAAAATCTTACATTCCTATAACATAGAAAACCATACAACAAAATTAAGC